TTCTTAGTCTTCCAAGAAATAAAATTTTGTTGCATTATCTACAACCGAGGCTAAATATATAATAGCAAGTACATGTTGTGCACAAGTTATTTGGATGAAAAACATTTTAGAATATTATGGGCTTTACTTCAAAAATAACTCTTGGTTCGTCCCAGTAGGGGTATGGGATAGAATTATAATACTAGATGAATATGTTTAACAAAGAATCTCATTCAACATTCTAGAACTAAACAAATTGATATTAGATATCATTTCATTATAGATCATGTTAATAATCATGATATATTTTTAGATTTTATTGATACGAAATATCAATTAGCAGATATTTTTATAGAACCATTGAATGAGGAATAATTAGAAGAGAACTAGGCATGTTAACTCTTTCAAATGCATAAATTTATCTTTTATATTTTTCATATCATTATCTTGATTTCTTGGTTTTCATGACTTGAGTTTTCTTTTTGAATCAAAAAATGACTCATGATCTTTCGGTTTTCTTGAGATGTGCAAGTTTGCAAGTTTTGTATCTTGAGATCGGCAAGCTAACACTTTGCAAGTTTGCACTTTTGATCTTTCATATGCTTCTCTTTTGAGATGTGCAAGTTTGTAATTTTTGTATTTTGAGATGACAAGCTAGCACTTTTGCTTCTTTGATATGTGCAATATAACACTTCTCTTTCTCCCCTTTGTCACTATGTAAAAACAAAAAAAAATAAGAAGAGTGGAAGAATTCAATGGTGCAAAATTGTTGCGGGATGTCAACATGTCGATGGATCGGGCAATACACCAAAGGAGAGGACGATGCACCGAAAATTCGAACGAAGCATCGGATGAACCACTGATATGCCAAACAACATATGATTCATGTTTGTAATCGGTTGTGTCTTATCAAAGTAGTTTAGGTTTTAATTAAGTTAGTTTTGGATGTAACCCTGTCAACTTAATTAGAGGCCCATTGGGCTTGAATCAAGGTTGAATTAGGCATATTAAAAGGCCAATTCAGTGACATGAAATTAGGCATATTGAAATGCCAATTTAGTGACCTGAAGTTGGGCCAAGCGGTGGAATAGCTTTTGAGTTGGAAAGTACAGAATGTATTTTCTTGAAAAACCTAGCGGTGGTGCCACCCAAACTAGGTAGTGGTACTACCAATGCCTAGGGTGGTAGGTAGCGGTATTGCCCAATGTAGGCATTGGTATCGCTAGTACCTTGAAAACCTGGGGATTTAAATTTTTGGCTTTATGTCTAAAGTCATTTGGGGCATATAAATACCCCACTCATTCTTACTTAGGATAACAAGTAAAAGAGTAGAAAGGGGAAAGAATTCTTGAAGAAAAAGTGTTGTAATCTCTCTTGAATTGTTGAGTCTCTTCCTCTTAGAGTTTAGAAGTTGTCTATGGGAGGGGTGATGTCTTTTGTAAAAAAGAGGTATGAAGGTTCTCTTCTGAGCCTATGAAAAGGAGAAGTAGTCGTAACGAGGTAGTTGATCTTTGCCCATTGAAAAAAAGATTGATAGTGAAAGCCAGTGAACTTGAGTAAAGAGGAATAGGGAGTGAACGTAGGTCAAGACAACCGAACCACTATAAATCTGGTTTGCATTTATGTTTATGCTTTTTCTTGTAGTCATTTACTGATTTACTTGCTTACTACTCTTATGTATGTTTTAAGTTAAATGTATTTTCGATATAGGTTTCATCGAATGAAAGTCTTTGAATCATCGTAATTTTTCGAAAGCACTAATTACCCCCCTAGGGCCTTTACCATCTTAATAGTAGGCCTAATATTGAGCTTGCCATGAGTCATACTTGTCAGAACTCTTTCTGACTTAATGAATTATTATCTCCATAATAATAATTATTATGGAGATCATAATTCACTCGACTATCAACTACAGATGAATTGGGCCACTATGTCGTAGTCCCTATATGATATAAGAGAATCCAATATATTAGACCTATCAGTCCTTAGTTACTATGTATCTATAGTCTCTCATCCTTATAATATTCCAAATACCGTATACTATGAATGGTGCTATCAGGCCCATATGGCTTCTACTATAATCTTGCTGTAGTCGGATTCTCCGAGAAAACTTTTTCTCTCTCAATCTGAATGATCTTTGCCACGAATTTGCCTAAGTAAGAACATATAAGATATTATTCTCATGACACTAAGAGTGGATGATCCTCTATTGACACACAATAGCCCTCGTAAGTTTGGTTGTCACTCATGATAACCGGTTGTGCTAGATCTAGAACTTCTAGGTTTATAAGTCTGGTATCAAAGAGTAGAGTACTCATATAGGATATCTTTTGTATCTCAAGTCTAAGGACCAGATACACCATTGTGATGACGGAATCACTGTCTGACAATAAGATATCATCAACCATCCAGTATTCCGTGAGCAGGTCAATAAGTGAACTCATTCTCCAATGAGCATCGACATAGTATACCTAGTGTCCCCACATGAGCAACTATGAGACCAACCACCTCCATTATATAGATGGGTGTACAGCACTCTAGTCTATCTAGTCATCTCGATGTCTCTCTCGAGTTGTCTCTGATCGAGATTATTTATAGTCTATGTTTAATGGCAAATCAGTCTCATTATTGTGATCTCATCATGATCACAATAATACATGTAATAAACAATACAAAGTGAAAAAAATATCAAATAAATAATAAGTAAATAGAGTATATATCATGTCACATATATCATCACTCACATGATTGGCTTGCAAGGCATCAATTACTAGCATGATGCACTATCATTTGTACTCATCTTATCAACATAAGAGGTTGATGCTGATAAAATATATAAATCTTTGACTCTTTTACCGGTCTGTACTATATCTATATTTAATTCTTTTATATTGCAAAGATACTTGATTTCATTAGGACCAAAAGGAATATAATTTTCAACATCAATTGCATTTGTAATAAAAAAGAGATATTTTTTCATTCCTAGAGCATGGTACACACTCTTTAATATAATAAGATCATTGTCTTAATATGAGATTATAATAGTACTTTCCTTTTCCACTTAGGGAATAGTACTATCTATCATGATAATTATATTATTACCTTCATATTGATGAAGATTTACGTATTTGGTACCTACTAGTGAGATGATGATCATATCCTAAATCAATAATTCAGTCATTTTAAAAAATTGATAGATGTCATGGCCTCAATAGTTTCAACCACAAAGCATTTGCCCCAATTTTCACCAGTAGCATTAGAACAATCTTCTTTATTTGCAATATTTTTTTTTTAATATTTACATGATATTTTTTCTTAATGTGGCCTAACTTGTCATACTTATAACATTGATCTTCTTTCAATTTGCACCATTGTTTGAAGAAGACTCTTGCTTGCTGATAACATCATCCTTCTTCTCTTTATCATTATTATTACCTTTTTACTTATTTATAATAAGGGCATCTCCATCTCCCCCTAAAGTAGAAACTCCCACCATTTGATGAGCTAAGGATTCTTAAGAAGGAAAAAAAAATTTCAACTCTACTAAGGATGGTTGTTGAAATCATGTTTGAATAGATATAATATAAATAATATATTCTTTTCGAAGACTACAAATAATATAATATTTCATTAGTACATCAAAAGCTCATTTGGATCTAAGAGTGATATATTTGAACATAATTTTTTAGTCTAAAAATTTGAGAGATCACCTTGGATAGTATTTGTCAAATCATTCTCTAAACACTAAATTCAAGCCATATTCTTTTTGTTGAGCAATGTATCAAGAGTGATCCAAATCTTTGAAGCTGATTTGCAATGAATAATATATTCAAAGAGATCATGAGAAATAGATCTTTTTAATACAAATTCAATCTTTGCATTTAAAGTCCTCCATATCTTTATGGCGTCTCCATATGTAGCATCGAGTGCTATTGTTACATTGTCACCAACCATATCTAATAGATCTTCCCCTATGAGTTTAGATTCCAAACAAGTTTTCTAGATATTATAGTTAGACTAATTGAGAAGTTCAATGCCAAATCTACTAACTTAATTATAATATTCTATAGTCGAAAAAGGTTATCTTTTTGTACCAAGGTTATCTTGAAAACACATATTACCAATGACCCTGCTACTATATGAAGAAAGGGAGGATTAGATGCAAATATAACTCTTTCTCAAATAGTAGTAATAAGGTACCATTAGCTTAAGATTAAACCAAATAGAAGAAGAATAAACCAAGACGAAAAAGAAAAACTTTATTGAATTTCTCAAAAAGAAAAAACTTATAGATCTTGAATGACTTGTAGACTTGACTTATACTTGAGACCTTGATTGATCTACACATGTAGATACAACCTATTTATAGATGTAAAATATAAGTGTCTCTAATTTCTACGACTCTATCTAATCTTAGTTGAAATCTTCTAAAATATATTTTAAACTAAGAATTCCTTATCCTAAAACTCTATCTAATTTGATTTAAAAGATAAAATATTAATTTATGATATTTAAAAATATTTTTTAACTTCTTAACATGGAATATATAAAGACAGTAATAATTATGAATCTCCGCTCAAGCTAAGCCTGTCTTTGTCGTAGTGTGATGACTTAAAAAAATAATATAGAGAACTTATAATTTAGATCATGAAGGGAAATTATTTTTGATTAACTAATTTATGCATAACGAGAGGTTTTGAGTTGGTACAAAAGGGAGATAAAAGGATATGCTTTATGTTCCGTGAAGGGGTTGGCAGACATAATTGATCCTAACTTAATTGTCGTATGGATCAGTACGCTAACAATTTGATATATATTAGATCTAGGACCAACATAAGATCAAACTGGAACGACTCTCCATCTGATGAATTCCGTTCGTGTCTTATGTGACTATGAAGCATATATGACGAAGAATACTCCGTTTCTACTGTTCCTTTCTGCTCAATTTTGTGTAACCAAGTTGTACTTTGGTTCATTAGAATCATATAAGAAGGAAACAAATGAAATGCTAAAGAGCAATGGACAGAGAAAGTTTACATATGTACATGCCAGTAACAATGAGGTTTATTTAACAAGCCACACATATATACCATCTACGATGACAGGCCCAATGCATGTAAACTGTAAGCTAGAATTAAGGTTAGCAATCACTAGATTGTTTCTGCAACCACAAAAGCACACATAGAAGAAAAGCAAAGTGGAATTCATACTGCCTCATCTGATCCCGGAGCTTTAGGTTCAATGGCGGACCGGCAAATGGGGCAGGTGGAATGGGACTGAAACCACATGTCGACACAGTCGGCATGGAATCTGTGGCTGCATCTCGGAAGGAGCCGCCCCTTATCGCCTTCCTTGAACTCCGTTAAGCACACGCTGCACTCCAGTTTGCCCTCGTTCGCCATGGAGTACACGAAGACGGGTAGTGACGGAAACACGTCTGGTTTGAGCCTGGCGTGGCGCAGGGAGGACGAGGGAGAGGTGCTGGCGGAAGAAGCAGCGGTCGTGTTGGTCTCATTCAATTGCTGAGACTTTTTGCACAGTTTCCGCGAGATGTAGCAGTACAAGAAGAGGATAAGAACAACGTTGAGGATGGCGAAAAGAGGATAAAGAACACGGCCATGGCCATGACTGAGCCAATAAGGAGGGTGCGTAGTTGGAGAGCCATTAGGACTTCCCTGGTTCGTATCGGCCATTTTCTTCCTGGTGTAGTGAGTTAAGGAGCGATGATAGATGCCTCGATAGGGTATAAACAGGAGAAGGGTGTGAACTGGCAAGTAGGAGACTGAGAAGAAGTTGTCTAACCTCAGGCACAAACATATATACAATCATTGATTTCTTCTCTTCCTCTATGTAGATTAGAAATACAGTTGAAAGGTCAGATGGTGGTGTCGCTGAGGTTCAAGATATATATATTTTATCCTTCTTCCTTAGTTTGGTGCAGTCCAATATTAATGCAACGCTACGTGAACATAGGAGTGCACCGAGCTTAATTTTTATCGACTGATGTGGCAGCAGAAAGGTCCTACAGTTGCCTGCAGAACGAAGTGTGGCCCATGAGATCAAGATACTCCACTTACGCACTGATACGTCGGCTGAGGTAAAATTGTTGGTAGCTGAATGCGTGGGCGTATTCCCCCTCATAAATATTGAAACGCTCCCACTTGACATCCTGACCTGCACCGCTCGCCCATAGAATAAGGGAGGGAACAGTACATTAGTTATTGACTTCGCAATGCAGAATGCAAAAGGATGGTGACGGGCTGAGCGGGGAAGAATTCTTTTTTGAACTATTTTAAGTCAGATTTGAATCCTACAAATCTACGTCGGAGCATTCATAATAATATTCCTCCGATACTTAAAGCCAGTAAGCAAGTAAGATAGGTTCAAAATGTTTCGAGCTTTAGTGTGTCTTGGGACATACTTGTAGAATCCTTTTTATAGTGGGTTTTTAGGATCGTTACCTTCGGATGATGCATTACTAGTAGGAATGTGGAGAGCTAATCTCGAATGTAATTATCACTAGCCATGTCAACTTCGAGATGATGTCACATTCTGACACATGGCGTGTATCAAACAATGGGTGCGGCCAGTATGCTGTAAAAGGTAGGGCCATAGGGTGTTGGCTTACTAGCCACATGGTATTGTTTGGTGGTGGTGTGCCATCCGCGCAAGGCCAAAGGTTTGGCTATATAGTGTTGATGTGGCATCGAAGTATCGATCACATGGCATCAACATGTTGGCTCTAATCATCTAGTTGTCAGCCATGTGGTATCATCAAGTTACCCATGCAGTGCCTAGTTGTCAACACGCCATGTCAAGGTATCAACCATCTAGGGTTGATTCATCAATTCTATTTTATTGAGGTGTTGACATCATGGTGCTATCGACTTTATCAATGTTTTCCTAATACATGCACCCCCACTTCTCAGTTTGTGAGGTGTAGTTGGGAAGTTTTATTTGATTAGCCATTGACACCAAGGCTTTGGGAAATTCTTATAGTCTTGAGAATCTTTATGGTGTTGAATCTCAGATTTTGATAATAAAATTATTTGATAAGTTTATTGGACTAAATATATTTTTGAGATAAGTGATAAACAAAATACTTTAATCACAAACTTGAATAATCAAAGGGCCAACTATTGAGCAGGAGAGTAAGACGTTTCGCTAAATAATTGTTACGTTGAAATTGGATGTTGAGCCAAAAGATTGGTCGATGTGTTGAAGATTGAACTGTTAGGACACTAGCTAGGAGAGTCCTAATTGAGAGGGACATTCATGTAAAACCTACCTAAACCGACCTCTATTAAAGAGGTGAAGAGGCCGGCTAGGGTTAGGAGGTTGTTTCTTAGAGAAGAATTAAGAGTTGTAAAGGAATAGGAGTCTTGAGTAGAAGTCCTATTAGGAGTTGGTTAGAAGTAGGAGTCTTAAGTAGGAGTCCTATTAGGAGTTAGGGTTTAGAAACCCTATAAATAGCCATGTATTCCTCCTCTTTTGATAAGCAATAGATGAATCTTTTCTGCAGCCTTTGAGCAGCAACTTGGAGGGAGGAACCCCTATAGGGTTCCAAGGAGGCCAATCCCATAAAGAGATCAACCCCAAGTTTAGAATCTGCAAGGGTTCAAACAAATGGTATCAGAGCAGCGTTCTTGGCGTCTCACTGCCCTTCCACAGCCATCCATCAACCCTCCACAACTGTCCAAAGTAATTTCCACAATTGCTTAAAAGATCATCGCCAAATTCCGTCGTCATCTCCACCACCACGGATCATCCTTTGATCTCCCCGTGAAGTGCAACAGGTTATGGTTTCCTACCTTACTACTGCTGCAATTTAGTTATCTTTATTTAAAAATCTCAAAAAAATTATTCCTATATTGCTGCATAAACTTTTCGTCATAAAGTTTTCATCTCTACGATGAAAGATACATTGCAGAATTCCAACCGTATAGCACCGTCTGTTTGATCTTGCTATTGTGTTTTTTCTATCCAAATCTCTATGAAAATTTTTATGACATCTTTGACATTTTCTAACAGCAGATTTTCTTTGGTTTTGTTAAAAAATTCTCAATATAAACCATTGATGTTTTACGTCTAATCTGCTATACTTGAAAATCTGCACTGTAAAATTTCAGCCGCATAGCACTGTTTGTTTGATCTTGATACTATGTTGTTTCTATCCAAATCTCTAAGAAATTTTTATGATAGCTTTGACACTACCTAACAGTGGATTTCCCTTTGGTTTCATCAAAAAATTCTCAATATAAACTACTATCTTTTTCGTCCAATCTACTATACTTAAAAATCTGTGTTGTAGAAAGTTTCAGCTGCATATTGTTGCCTTAACCCATCTATTTGCAATCTTTTTTGAATGAAATTTCTTATACACTTCATAGATCATCTTGGTTTCCATCTAAGATTGATCTATTAAGGAATTCATCTCTTAAAACGATTTCGTGTTGTTGTAAATTTTCATCACAATCCGCTGAAATTTTTCGATGAGAATTCTGCAATCGTAACTTGCACCAATTTCCTTGCTGTAATACTGCCGAAATTTTTTTGATTAAATTAGACATCCTTGCTGTCATATAAACTATGATTTTGCTATCAATTCCCTCCTCAATTCTCTCAAGTTTTTGGTAGAAATTACGTCGAGAAACCGTTGTTTTTCGATGACAATTCTACTCTTACAATACAGCACATACTTGCTGCAACTTCCACTTATTTCTATCAAACCTTTGCTACCATCTACCACAGATCAAAAACTTTCATCCACAGCCCTAAAACTCCACTAAACCACACCCTCAAACTGTACCCAAAACAGTCACAAAACAAGCCTAAACCGCAGCCTACATCTACCAATCCACCAACCCTTTCGACCATCACCTCTCTCAACCTATACACGCCTTTAACCTGACAACAAAAGAGAGATCATAACATCATAGATTTGGAGGCATATACTATGGCATCTGAGGAGGCAATCAATGCTTAATTCGAAGCCTTTGAGGCACGAATGGAGGATACAATTCGGACACTCTTTACTAAACTCAGATTGGGCCGACCACTAAGCCCGAAGAAATCACATCAAGGAGAAAGCTCTGCCCAATCGCACCAAGCCTGAAGAGATGACTTCCAAAAGAGGGGAGATTCTATGATCGATCCCAACTATCCACGCATGAGGGTGGACTTCCCTAGTGTTAGGATCGGAGCGGCACTAAGAGGGGGGGGTGAATTAGTGCAGCGGATTAAAACTTCGGTTTTGATAAATCTTTCCTACGATGAAAAGCAATATCAATGGAAGCCGATTTTAGAAGCTTGATAACTTAGAAACATATAGAAGCGTAGTAACTAAGTAGATAAGTTTGCAGTATGTAAATGGCAAGAGTAGGATGCAAACCAGATAACGTAGCAGTTTTTAAAGTGGTTCGGTCAAAATGACCTACATCCACTTGCGAAGCCTTCTTCGAAGAGGCTTCCAACTTCCACTAACAAATTTCTTGTAGGGGAAGGACTAATACCCCTCTTACAACCTTTACAAGTGGTTCACACTCTTACAATTCTTTTCAACAAGATGGGAGGAGGTGAACACTTAAGCAATATGAAAAACAAGGCTTGCAAAGACTATTCTAAGGCTCTTAACTCAAACTATTGCTTTTCAAAAAGTTGTTATCTCAGTTGAGATTTGAGGGGTATTTATAGGCCTCAAGAGGATTCAAATTTGGGCTCCAAAATTTGAATTCTCTTTGGTTTCCGAGG